AAGGGCTGTGTCCATGTATAAGTGCAATGTGTTTAATTCATTCTAATTTGTCCATGATGTTTGCCCCTTCTAACAATGTGTGTAAGCACACTTTATAGCGCACATGATTAGATGAGTTGAATGGTAAAAAAGAAAGGTTGGTGAGTGAGCTTATGGTATACATGAATTGTTATCCTGTCATTTGAAAGTGGAATATCAATGTCTAAGTAGTGTGCTCAAGTTAATAGATTATTGTAGATTAAAGGCAAGACTATAACTGTTGTTATTGAAGGCCAAACATCTAAATCCTTGATGTTGGATTTGGCTTTCCATATTACTAAAATATAATCAATATACCTAGTTCTATGTGCAGTAAACTAGAACTTTTCTATAAGTTTCAAACACCTTTCTTTCTTTTCTAGCAATTTCTTTAATTAAATCAAAGAACTAATGTTTTCAGCTATTTTAAATGGTCTTCTTCAGGTTAAAAATCAAAAACTCAAAATAAACTATAGTGCGATAAGTAAAATGTCCAAAATATGATACAGTTTGTATCATAGTGAAATAAAAATATTATGAGGTGTGTCCAGAAAGTAAAGAATGCTTGGCTATAAAAAAGGAAAAAACAGTAATGATAGGAAAAAGTTTTATTAAGTAATTATTACAAGACCAGTTACTTTTCTACATAGCCATCATTTCAATTCAAGCACTTGTCATAGCATGGCACTAATTTTTGGATTTCTTTGTCATAAACTTCTCCTGCCAGTTCTTTCAGCCAGTTAGTGACAGCTTCTTTCACCTCTAATCCATTTTAAAATGTTACAAATCCACCCAAAAATTCTTTCAGCTTGGGAAAGAGGTGAAAGTTATTGAGGGCCAGGTTGGGACTGTATAGTGGGTGGTTGAAAACATCCCAGCCAAATTTCTGAAGTACAGCTTGAGTGGCTGCAGCAGTGCAGTTGCATGTTATCCTTCTTGATTAAACATTAAACAATAAAAAAAAACACCTTTAAACAATCCAGCAATGAAATTTACTAAATAATATTTTTGATCAGTTTAACTGATCATCTTCAGTTACGATAGAATGGAACATGAATATAAAAATTTAAAAATAAATAATAACCAGAATTCTAAAATAAATAAATAAATANGCCTAAAATTTTTTATTTTTATTTTTAAAATAATAGTGTTTACTGTGTCTGTTGTGACAAATGCAGTATGTGACAGTGGAGTAAAGTGAAAAAGCAACTGCTTGGTTAGAAAACAGAGTTTAATCTAACAAGCTGTATATACTACACATACCAAAAATGAAGGGGGATTAGGTGTGAATTACAAGAATGTAGTTGTCTAGACTTTTGTTTATATATCATCTGGAATGTCCCTAGGAGAGTGTCATGATACTCACCAACACTTCCCCTCATTCCAGTGGGTGCTTACTAAATTATAGACCAAGGTGTAATAATAAATGCGATCTTGATACATGATTTATAAGATTGACTTCATATTTAAAAGTCTTAGTCCATTAGCATGTTTTGGGTAGTGTAAGCCTTTTGTTAAAAGATCGGCAGGCATCTTATCTGTAGGAATAAATGCGATGTCTATTCTTCCTCGTTCAACGCATTCATGCACGAAATGATGTCTTATATCTATGTGCTTACTTCGTGAGTGAAACATTGGATTTCAAGCAAGTAATTGTGCTCCTTGGTTGTCGCAATAAATTGTCAATTTGGATTTATTGCTTCTTGAGAGTTCATTGAAAAGTTCTAGTAGGTGTAGAGCTTCTTTAGTAGCATCTGATAATGCCATATATTTGGCCTTGGTGCTCGATAAGGCAACCATGCGTTGTTTTCTTGATTCCTATGAGATGGGTCCATTAGCAAGCTTAAAAATGTATCCCGAGAATGTATGGCGATCATCTGTCGATGCTCCCCAGTCAGAGTCTGAGAATCCTGTAAGTGGTTCTCCAGTTGACTCAAATGTCAGGCCATGATTGGTCGTCCCTCTTAGATATCGAAGGATACGTTTCACTGCAGTCCAGTGTGTATAGTCATGTTGGGTGTTATACTGGCTCAGTTTGCTTACTGCATGTGCAATGTCTGGCCTGGTGCAGATAGAAAGATAAAGAAGACAACCAATTAATTTTTGAAATGGAAATTGCTTCATTTCCTGAACTGATGGGTTTTCAGGCCTGTGAAGTTTGGAGCTTGGGTCAAGAGGAGTTGCGACTGGTTTCGATTTTTCCATCGAGAAACGTTCCAAGATTTCCTTGGTATATCATTTTTGACACATTTGAATTATCATCTTCCCCTCCTTTTCTTGTTGGAAGGATTTGATGCCCAAGCAATAGTGAAGTTGTCCCAGGTCTTTCATGTCAAACTAGGACATGATAGTCTTCTTTAGTTTGGCCTTTTCGATTTTGTCACATGATACAATGATGAGGTCGTCAACATAGATGATGACAAAGGTCATGTTATTCTGTTCATTTCGAACATAAACGCAAGGGTCAAAGTTCAGTGGTCTTAAACCCAGTTGTTTGAGTTCATCATCCAGTCGTTTATACCATAGGCGACTTGCTTGTTGTAGACCATAGAGGGCCTTGTTAAGTCGACACACTTTGTTGCCTTCTTGGGTAGATTGTAGCATTTGTTCTGCTTTGATTTGAGTCTGTCCTGCTGAGTTTTTAATTATATCTTCTAGGATTATTTCGATTTGGTCTGGAAGCTGCATGAAAATCTCCTGGTCTATGTTTCCATTAAGGAACGATGTTTTCACGTCCAATTGGTTGATGAGTAAATGTTGTTCGGTAGCAATGGCCAATACAGTTCGAATGGAGTTTATCCTTGCAATTGGTGCAAAAGTTTCTTGGAAGTCAATTCCAGGGCGTTGAGTGTAACTTTTTGCTACTAACCGTGCCTTTCGTCTTTCAAGAGTGTCATCTGCATTGTATTTGTTGCGAAGGACGATACAGCAACCTACAATGTCTCTGTCAGAAGGACGGTTGGTGATGCACCATGTGTCGTTTTCAATGATGGAGATAAACTCACTTCTGATTGCGTCTCTCCATTCTTGAGCAAACGAGCTTGAGAGGGCATCCTTGATGGAGATTTCAGTGTTGAATGCCATTTCCTGGATGACAGCAGCAAATTCACTTGTATTGCTCCCTTGTTGGACGTTTTCTTGGTTCAGTTCCTCATTCTGTGAATGTAGTCCTTCGGTTTGGCGTTGCGAAATCGAATTTGTCACCGTCATGTTAAAACGTTTGCGAGGTCTACCTTTTAAGCCAGTTTTAATTAAGTGTGGGCGACCTGGACCCCTTCTTAGTTTGTTATTCCTGGAGACTTTATTTCCATCATCGTCTTGTTGGATAGTGTGACGGATGTTCTCTTCCCCTTGTTCAATGGTTAGGGATGGAGGTTTAGTTAACTCAGTGATTACTTCGTGGTGATGAGTTTCGTTTTCTTGTGATGAAAACTCTTCTAAGATGAATTCCTCAAAGTCATTATTTGAGGTCTTTAGTTCAAGGAACTACCTTTTTCCGAGTTGGCATCCAAATTCTATAGGCTTTGAATTGTTCAGAATATCCAATGAATATATTCAGAATATCAGATCCTCGCTCTGAAGAATATGCCTTCTTCAGAGCGAGGATCAAATTTACCGATAGTTGGGTCCTTATTGAGTACAAAAGCGGGACTACCAAAGGTTCGAAAGTGAAAAATTTTGCAATCCCTCCCATTCACAATTCTGTAGGGTGTATCATTGTCTAAAGCTCTAGAAGGACAGCAGTTCAGGATAAAGTTTGCTGTGTGGACGGCTTTGGCCCGAAAAGAGGCCTTGAGTCCTGACTGAATTAGCATGCATCGTGCCATCTCGACTAATGTTCGATTCTTTCTTTCAGCCACTCCATTTTGTTGTGGAGTATGGGGGACAGTTAAGCGTCGCCTTATCCCACATTCTCTCAAATATTCATCAAACTCTTTGTTACAATATTCAGTTCCGTTGTCAGATTGAAGGCATTTGATTTTCATGCTGAACTGTGTCTCTAGAAGATTCTTTACTTCTTTAAAGACGTTCAGTATATTGCTTTTGTTGTGGAGAAAATGTACTTCACACCATCAAGATCGGTCATCTATGAAGACAGCAAAATATCTATCACCTGACATAGATTGAATTCAAGTCGGACCATCACAGATATCAGTGTGTACGATTTCAAGTATATTGGTAGTTCGTTGGTTATTTGCTGAAGGAAATGGATTTTGCACCTTTTTGTCTGAGGCATGTTTCACACGGGGATAAGCGATCACCAGATGGGATTCGAATTCCAAGACGTAACAATATCATCCTTAGGCTCTTTTGATTAAGATGACCTAGGCGTTCATGCCAATCCATTAGGATGGACTTAGATTGAGCATTGGCAGCAACTGGATTCTATTTACGAATATGGTAGAGTTTGTTCACTCGATCAGCAGTAGCAACAACGTTGTCATTTTGGTCCATGATAAATGCAACTTGTTTGCAGAATGAAACTTCATAACCTTTATCACAAATCTTACTTACAGGACATGAGATTTGTTCGAAGGTCTGGAACCAGAAGAGTGTCAGATAAGTTAAATACTCGTCCTTTTGATTCATCGTCAAGTGTTAGTTGCACTGAGCCAATTCCTTCAATCGTTGCAGTGTTTTCTTCGCTGGCTAGGTTCAAGGTTTGTCCATCTGGCTTGATTTCTCTGAAATCATCTCTATTAGCACACATGTGGGAAGATGCGCCACTATCGAGACACCATTTATTCCTTTTGGTTGATCTTGAATCAGTTATCTTGCCATGAAAGCATTCTTCAACAGCTTTACCAGCACACTCACTACTTTTGGGTTTGTAGCGGCAGTCAGAAGATTTGTGATTTCGACTACCGCAGTATTTGCATTTCGATCCACTTAGATTTGTTTTCTCGAATTTGAATGGAGTTTTGCCTTTTGGATTCCTACGACTATCTTTGTTTTTGAAGTTCTTCTTCTTTTCAGCATACATGGCATTGGGTACTGCATTGGTCCTTTTGCCTTTTCGAGATTCGTGCTCTTCGAGGATCTTCACTTTAAGAGCATCTGGATTTGGCAGATTGTCGCGGGATTCAATTGCACAGCGAAAGTTTTCGTAGGATGGCGGAATCTATATAACAACATTATAGCAAGAAGGTTGTCGTTGATGTTAACGTTTAAATCTTTAAGCTTATCGACAGCATCAAAGAATTTGTTTATGTGGTTTCTGGTGTCATCAAGCTCATCCATCTTATGCAGTATGAGCTGTTTGAGGAGTGTGGCCTTGCGCGCGGGACCTTTTGGTTGGTAAATGGATTCCAATTTGTTCCAAATTTCCAAAGCAGTCTTACATCCCTTGACTTGTTTTAGTTTGCTGGGACTGATTGTGAGAATTAAATCAGCTTGGGCCTTGGAATCGTCTTCATTCCATGTGGATGCTTTTCCCTCATCATCAATGGGTCGCAAGTAGATCCCATTAACGTATTTCCATGTTCCATTTTTAACCAAGATAGCTTTTGCTTGGATTTTTCATGTATCATAGTTATCCTTCTTTAAAGGTTCAATTTTGATGATGGTTGTCATTATTAAATATAGTTGTTGATGATCGAATAATAAGAACCACAACTATTATAATTGAAAAATCATTGTATCGTTTGTGTCTGTGGGTTACAATGTCTACGTATCAGTTAGTTCCCACCAAAATAAGCTCTGTTTAAATCCGTTGCCGCATTTTTGTTCGCTAGCTTGACTGGAAGTTGACTCTTCGATACTTGGCATGGAATTATATAAAAAAAGGATTCATGCCTTTGTTCTCTGTTGGTTCTCTGAGTTTCGTAGCGATTGGATTTGTGGAGCGTGAGAAATAGTCCAAAAAATCACTATGTGCTGCAGTTTTCTCAGGTAAACTTCTTCCTTGGGAATTTTCTTTTTATTCCTCTTCAGAAGGCTTCTACTGGGCCCATAACCTGTTGTGATAAACGCAGGGTGTGACAGTAGAGTAAAGTGAAAAAGCAACTGCTTGGTTAGAACACAGAGTTTAATCTAACAAGTTGTATATACTACACATACCAAAAACGATGGAATTAAGTGTGAATTACAAGAATGTAGTTATATAAACAAAAATCTAGATATCATCTGGAATGTCCCTAGGAGAGTGTCATGATACTCACCAACAGTGTTGTTAAAAATTATTTTTTTATGTTGCACAAACAAAATAAATATATTGAAAAATATAGAAACAAAAAAAAATCATATTTCAAAAGTTCATTTTAATATAAAAATTGTGACACGGTGACATCTAGTATCAAAAACGTTTCAATATAGACACGAAAATATTCGGGATTGCCCACACAGGTCAATGAGGTCAACATGAATATTTTCGGGAACAATGCAGGACAGGTTAAACTCCAAGGTGATTTTTTTGTCTAATTTAGCATTTAAACTCTGAAGTGCTTGAAGTTAACATCATTTAAAGTATAAGATATAGAGGATTTGATCCCGGGATCTCGAAAATCGGGATCCCGGGATCCCGACCACTTTTCAACCCCAAAATTTTCGGGATTAAGTTTTCCTAATCCCGAGATTTTCGGGATTGACATCATTTTTAAAAAAGTTGCAAAATAGACTGCATGAAGCGAAACGTTCAGTGCCAGTGCTTTTAACAGAATTGCTTGCCTATCATTTTAATATAAAATATGAGAAATTTTATTCCAAGCAAGCAGCAGAAATTAAGCTAGCGGGCTTGCGATGCTTGCTTGGAATAAAACTTCTTGTATTTTCAACTAAAATGATAGGCAAGCAGTTCTCACTGGGTTACTTGGTAATATACTTCATTTTTGTATTTTTGAATTTTCGCGGGCGCCAATCGATTTTCTGGCGCAGTCGAGAGCACTACTCAGTGCGTTTTACCTGTCAATGTGTCAGCCATCTTGTTTTGCCAGTGTAGTTAATATAGACCCGACGCCTCTCGCTTAGGGGGGTCGACCTTAGGTGAAAAGGTTACGACCCTCGCCTTGCCCGCGATCTGTCAGGATGATGCGAGAAAGTCTTTTTACGTTTCGGGGTAGTGGTTTGCTGGACGCTGAGAGACTCACACAGAGACCGAATTTACAAAATTAACGCGTTTATTTTTAGAAAGACATGCTTACAATGATCGAAACAATCGGGATTGTAGCCTTTACTCCTACAATCCCGATCCGTGTCGACCGGACTGTTTTCTTCCATCCTCCCCGTGTCCTCGAAGCTTATAAGTATTTACTAACGATTCCTCCAACTTCCATCAAACCTAAACGCGTTTTCTCAGCAGCTGCATATATGTGCAACAAATTGAGAAGCAGACTTGGTGATGAGACACAGGATGTGTTGTTATTTCTCAGATCATATTTTCGCAATTCAAATTAGAATGTTCCTATTAGATTAGTTTTCGTTATACTGTATTTAAGAAAAATGTGACTGATTAATATTATTTTTAAATACTTTTTGCTAAGAAACTTATGTTACTACCTACTTACTAGGTTGCTATATGAAAGTAGTCTATTCAGTCGATGTTAAGAGAGATTTTTGTTAATTTTCAACGTTTATTTGCATAGTTTGTTACATAGAGGTTTTTTTCAATTTATGTGAGTTAAAGAGATCTCAGTGATGCTTAAAAAAGAATAAATATAACATGAAGACTGAGTGATTTTAAGTCTGTTAGTCTGACTCTGAGTCTGATTAGTTAGAGTGATTAAATTAGCTAGGTGTATACTGTAAAATATGTTGATTTCTGTAAGATTTTCTTATTTTTTATTAACCCTCAATACCGAAATAATCCCGGGATCCCGGGATTGACTAAGTATAATCCCGAAATCCCGGGATTAGAAATAAGGACCGGGATCGAATTCCCTAATGAGATAGCACTATTTTTAAATTTTACTTGTTTAACAAGTTTATTTTATGTGCAGATTTAATTGATACATATTAAAATTATTTAGAATATACAATATAATATATGAGTGATTATATATGTTGAATTTATTTTATTTTATTCAGCAAGCTTTCTTGTGTTGGGACCAGTTCTGCATCTAGTCATGATCAAGTAGATATTGAAAATCATAACTTATTTCAACAGAAAATAGAAAAATTAGAGCAAGAAAAGAGAGATTTATTGAAAAAAGTATATGGTAAGTTTATTAAATTATTATATATAAGATTTTAAAAATAAAAATACACAAGTTAATATATGAAAAATTCTTAAAATTGTCACAGCTTTAACATGACTAAAACAGTAACTTAAATACTTACTCCAACACTCAATTTAATAATCACACAAGCATGTTTGGCTCAATTTAGGGGCCTTTTCAGGTAGTACAACTGTTCCATCAAACTCAGCAAAACAGCATAATTTAAAAAGTATTCTACAAGAGCATTTCATTGGTAGAGTGGCATAATTTAACAAGAACATTTCTATATGGATCTGGATGCATTTTCAAAAATAAATCTTTGTAAAATAACATACTTATTATCTTTAAGAATTAAGTGAATAAAGAACAAAGTGCCCCATTTGCAGAAGTATAAGGCTATCAGTATTAATGCACGTTCCTGGTAGGATAGCCTTATAAATCTCTAATGCCTTGGCTGTCTGAAGTTTATGATGGTCAAAAATCTTTTGTATGTGTTTAATGTCCTCCCAACATGTGGACACCCCAGGCTCTGAGGTAAATTGGACCAGCTCAGTGTCGTTTTTTTTTTTTTTTTTTTTTTTTTTTTTTTTTTTTTTTTTTTTTTTTTTGTTGATGTTATAATTATGATCATTAATCCTAGCTCCAAAGGATGTATATGTGGAACTAAAGTAGAAGTGCATGTTGAACTTGCATTCATTTAAAGGGATTTCATACATGCCTGGAGCACATGCATCCTTTGCAACATCCTTACCATTGGTTAACAATCAGAATACATTGGAGCATCTTTTATATGTGAAGACTAGATTTGAATTGTTTGCTATTTTGGTATACAGCTGGTATAAGTAAGAATGCTATAGTTAGCATTTCTCTTGTGTGTTGGATCTTCATTGGCTATTGTGGACTCATAAGTTTGAGCGAGTGTGGTAATAAAAGAAGGGCTGTGTCCATGTATAAGTGCAATGTGTTTAATTCATTCTAATTTGTCCATGATGTTTGCCCCTTCTAACAATGTGTGTAAGCACACTTTATAGCGCACATGATTAGATGAGTTGAATGGTAAAAAAGAAAGGTTGGTGAGTGAGCTTATGGTATACATGAATTGTTATCCTGTCATTTGAAAGTGGAATATCAATGTCTAAGTAGTGTGCTCAAGTTAATAGATTATTGTAGATTAAAGGCAAGACTATAACTGTTGTTATTGAAGGCCAAACATCTAAATCCTTGATGTTGGATTTGGCTTTCCATATTACTAAAATATAATCAATATACCTAGTTCTATGTGCAGTAAACTAGAACTTTTCTATAAGTTTCAAACACCTTTCTTTCTTTTCTAGCAATTTCTTTAATTAAATCAAAGAACTAATGTTTTCAGCTATTTTAAATGGTCTTCTTCAGGTTAAAAATCAAAAACTCAAAATAAACTATAGTGCGATAAGTAAAATGTCCAAAATATGATACAGTTTGTATCATAGTGAAATAAAAATATTATGAGGTGTGTCCAGAAAGTAAAGAATGCTTGGCTATAAAAAAGGAAAAAACAGTAATGATAGGAAAAAGTTTTATTAAGTAATTATTACAAGACCAGTTACTTTTCTACATAGCCATCATTTCAATTCAAGCACTTGTCATAGCATGGCACTAATTTTTGGATTTCTTTGTCATAAACTTCTCCTGCCAGTTCTTTCAGCCAGTTAGTGACAGCTTCTTTCACCTCTAATCCATTTTAAAATGTTACAAATCCACCCAAAAATTCTTTCAGCTTGGGAAAGAGGTGAAAGTTATTGAGGGCCAGGTTGGGACTGTATAGTGGGTGGTTGAAAACATCCCAGCCAAATTTCTGAAGTACAGCTTGAGTGGCTGCAGCAGTGCAGTTGCATGTTATCCTTCTTGATTAAACATTAAACAATAAAAAAAAACACCTTTAAACAATCCAGCAATGAAATTTACTAAATAATATTTTTGATCAGTTTAACTGATCATCTTCAGTTACGATAGAATGGAACATGAATATAAAAATTTAAAAATAAATAATAACCAGAATTCTAAAATAAATAAATAAATAAATAACAGTTGTAGAAGAGAATTAGTTTGAGAAATTGTAGTTGAGATTAATAAAATAATTAAGTACAGAAATAAAATAAAAAGTAAAAAGAGACAAATAAATGTCCCTTAATAAAATTAACTTTCATAAAAAGACTGCCATGCGGTAGACAAGCTGTCGCTTTTTAGACCAGATAAAATGGCCAGATTTTTTGTGCACTTCAAATATTTCCAATTTTTTCCAGATATATCACAGTGTGTATATTAGATGTCGGGTCTGATTATGGTTGCCTACTCCCATTGTACTTTTATGTCTTGATGTGAGTAAGTCACCAGCATCATATTATCAAGATTTTTATCAATTGTGTATTTATGCTCTTTGAGACATTGTTGTAAATTATGCATAGTGGCACCCACGTAGATCAGTTTTATTTTGAAATGTTGGTCGATTAATAGGAAGTAGTAAATCCCAGTGGTCATATTACAGTTATATGGTTTCTTATCATTCTGTAAAATTCTGAATATTGTTGGGTTGCGTTGATATACAACATCGACATTAACTCTGGCTGTTTTCTTATGTATCCTTCTTAAATATGGGGTATAATTTAAAACTATTCTTCATTTCTGGTCTACTAACGTATGCTGACATTTTGATATTTGAAAGGCTGCGATCAAGTTCTGAATAATTTTTATCGGATAACCCTGTTCTGTGATTTTTAAGATGTAATTTAGCTCTGTAATGGTGTCCCTTGTGTTGGTACAATGTGTATATGCCCTTCTTATCAAGGATCTAAAGGCTGCAAATTTGATATGCCAAGGATCAACAGAGTTATGTGAAATTAAAATAGGTTGAAAACATGGTTTCCTGTATACTTTGGTCCAAATTTTGCCATATTTGCAAGAGATGGAAATGTCCAAAAAGTTTACCATTGTCTCACTCTTCTGGTCTAATTGTAGGAGTAATCCATAGGGGTTATTATTGATAGCTTTTAAAAAATGCTGCAGGTTTGGTTTTCTCTGCTACAAGATGAAGATATCATCAACATATCTAGCTTATAAGATAATGAGGTGTTGGAATTTGGGTAGAATGTTATTTTCTAATTGTCACACCACCAGTTCACAAAGTATTGATGACCTGGGACTGCCCATAGGTATGCCTCTTCCTTGTAAGTTTACTTTGTTCTCAAATTCAAAGAATGATGTATAACATACAAGATGCACAAGTTCCAGTATATAATTGTGATGTTTACATGCATCATCAATGTTGGCAAACAGGAAATCTCATATTGTACAAAAACAAGGAGGTATTTTTATAGATGGATACATCTATTTGAAGCGTAAGACCATCAAGTAGTCATTGTCTACCAGAGAAATGGTATTGAGGCGTTCTATAACCTGCAGCAAGTTGTTAACTGAAAACAGATGGCAAGTAGCTTTAGCATGGTAGAATTTGACCAGCTGTTTCTCAGTCAAAAACATCGGAGAAATTACATTTCTTAATCATTGGACGTGGTTTGTTTCCTGGCTTGTGGGTCTTGGCGAATGCGAAAATCCTTGGTGTTTTTGGTGTGTGGATTGTGGAGCTGTGCATACATAAAAGGGAGTGGAGGTGAATCTTGGGAGGTTTAAAGGTGTGTTTTTTTTACTGTAATCTATCTATCCAGTTGATACAAAATATATGGATAAACATAAAACACTATTTTCTTACATTTGCTTCATTCATAATGTGATTACTATACACTTTTGTGGTTTGTTTATGAATTTCTATAGGACAAACTTTCTTTGCATTTAGAAAATGAATAACACTGCATTTGGAAGATTTTCGATTTTTGTACACATTTCAACTCATGACAAAACAGTAACAATAAGCCTGCCATTATCGAAACTCAATACATGCTAAGCTAACATATTGGAAATCAAACTGACCTTGAATTAATGGTGGTGATTTACCTGTGCAGTGTGCTATGTGCTAACATTCGTTGCTTTCTGGATGCCCCTTCGTATATAGGACAGTGGATGATTAAAATATTTCAAATTAACCTATATTGCAATCTACATTGATCTCAAATTGCAACTGTACAAATCTTAACATTTATTATCAAAAATTTAATTGATATGGTAGTTAGTCATTCAAGAATCATATATAAGTAGGCTTTCCAGCCACTGTTAAGTATTTTCATTCTTTAGGTTGTGAAGTGAAAAAGATAGCAGTAGTAATCACAATTTTCAAGATATAAAGTTTATATTTAATAGAATTTTCTGATAGCACATCACTTACATTAACATTATTCTTCACTTCTGATAGAAGAACTTACCTTTATATGTTTGTTCAAATTACTGTTTTTGTTGAAAAATTGGATGATGACTTAAGAACTATTGGTAATTTCTTGACAAATTATAATGGAAGAAATATAATCTTTTGCATGTGATTTGAATAGTAAATCTACTAAGTGGTATGATCATAGAGGAAAAATTATGGAAAACTTTTGTCAAGCCAATTATTTGCTTATAATAAACAACCATTGACAAACCCATGAGAGATCTCATGGAAAAAGCAGCATTTATCTGTGTTTTACTAAATATAATAAATAAAATCTTTGTGGATAAACCATGTAGAATGCAGTGGGTGATCAGTTAACGAACAAATTGGATAACGAACACTTTCGCGAAAGATTTTTATGATCAAACAACGAACACTTCTGTGAAATCCGTGATTTTTACGCCGATGGCAGAAAAATCTTTGTAAACAACTCCAATGAAAAAATACTCTTGGTGAGAATTATATCAGAGGTCACCGATTGTTTTCACACTTAGGCGGGAAAGTTGACACTTAGTTGGGAAAGTTGACACTTAGTTGATCGAAATGCACCGTTAGTGTCAATAAAAGTTGATCACGTGACTCGGTTCCCACGAAGAACGTATAAAAGCTTGAGTCCCCAGAAGCTTGGGCAACCAAAAGA